GGGTTATAGAGTGGGGAAAGTTTTTAAATTGTGTTTTTTTTTTTTTTTTCTAAATTCAATTATTTTCCAGAGTAGCTTCCATAGTTAATGAATTTTCTTGGCTTGACCCTGAGAATCAATTATCTCTGTGCTATAATTATCTTAAGAAACGAACGACAGCTCCTTAACCTCCACAGCAACACATCATCAAACTGGCTCTGAAAACAACAGAAACTCCAAATTCCATCTGTCCCAGAAAGTTTTTCTTACTTCAACTCGTCCTTTTATCTTGCTTATTTCCAGCCCCTGAAATAATCCCACATCTGGTCCAGACAATTGTCCTTTGTTGACCTTATTGACCTTACTGTCTCTCATGGTGATCTCATGGTACGGTCGATGGTGCAGTGCAGTTCTCTAGAAGACAGTCTAGTAACTAGTCTAGAGCAGGCATGGGCAAACTAAGGCCTGGGGGCCGGATGCGGCCCATTCAGCTTTGCCATCGGGTCCGCCAAATTATATAATTGGTTCGTATTGTGATTATATTTCTGCCTTTTCCATGCAATGCCCATATTTTCCCTATAGATGGTGTAGAGAGGGCTATTTTAGCCTTCAAGCATGACTTTTACATGTCATTTATCTTATTTCACACTAATGCTCCATCTATCTGCTCCTATAGCACCGATTCGTTCATGCGTTTAGACGAAGTGTCACATACAGGCCTGGCATAGGTACTACAGGGAGCAGAGTTGTATTCTGCATGCAAGAGATGTTTTCAGCCCTTTTTTTTCCTCAGTTTTTTAGTCAACCTTTGGAGAACTGACTTTCCCTCTCTTTATCTCATAAAAGGTTCATACAGTAAACTTTTGAAAAATATCCATATGAAATGTGGAGTAAGTCAAAAAGTTAACATTTCACCTGACCAGTCCACTTCTCCACTTTCACTGCAGCAGAACTGTAAGAGTAGCAGTAGGTATTCTTGGCAGCGGTGTGAGTATTAAAGCCCTCTGCCAAAATCCTTGGATTTATTTCCTTAATATTGACCAGAGTATTGATAGTGTCAAAACAGAACTGCTTCTTCCAGCTTGAAACATTTGCCAAAATCAAATTATTTTCTTTTTTTCGTTGGACAGGATATTCCCTCTGGCTCTGACTGGACTGTTCCCAGTGCTGACATTAGTCACTGCCCACTGTTGGTGCTGCTTCTTATTGTTGCCAGCACATCATGTCACCAGTCTTGGCTTCGCTCCACCGGCTCCTCTCTGTGTTGAAATGATCAACATTAAAAATATGTAGGTCTGACTCGTCCCTCCACGGTCTCTTCGTCAACATCCCGGCCCACGGAGTCCACCGAGCTCCGAGGGTGAGTTCTACTTGAGTGCTTTTTAATTTCCAGTGCCGTATATTATCGGACTGTAACCGTGAATATCTCGCCTTCATCAGGGTTTATTTGAGAAAAGCGTACTGTATTATGATTCTGCTGCAAAACATTTGGTCCTTATTGGCCTGGGCCAAGGCGAGTTATCTCATAATGATTACATTCCAACACAATTATGCTCTATTTCACCACGAATGTATTAAGTAAAGGAAATAGCTTGACTTATTTTCAGCGGAGTGAGGGAAATTTTTTCGCTGCAGTTTTAGTGTTAACTGCTGTTGTGATGAAGCATTCTGCGGTCATCACTTGTGGCTTGGTTGATTTCCAGTAATTTGTGGTTAAACTTGGACCCAGAGTAGTCTGGTTCAGGCAGCACAAGAAGATGGTGAAAGTGTCAGTAGCCTTGTTTTCTATAATCACAATCATGAAAAGAAATTCTTCTGGCACCAAAGGTCTTTGATACGTCTGAAATCAGCCTCGGAATTCTAATGAAATTCGTGATCGGAATCCTGTGACTTACACAGTTAGCTTCTAGGTGAAACCTTACAAGGTAAAGCAAGGCTTCGGCAAACCCTGGCTCCTGAGCCATATGTGGATCTTTAGCCTCTCTGCAACGACCCCCTGCTAGCTAGAAAATAACAGACAGAATAACTCAGTACATTTTTAATGCAATTAAATGTTACACCACTTTCACACTTTTAATTGAACGCATCACATTTTCAGCTTGCTTGCTAACAGCAAGTTAAAATAATGTGACTAAGATCAGGTGTGGAACTTTAAAGAAGTGTGAGCTATGCTATGAGTTCAAGTTAGTCTAGGAAATACTAGTAAATTCATCTAAATCAGGCATAGCCAAACTTTCCTAGTTCCTAAAATTTGACAGCAGGGCCGGAGCAGATCAATGGAGCGTTCGTGCGAACTGAGATAAATGACATGAGATAAAAGATGATAAAAGTCATGCATAAAGGCTAAAATGCTTCTAGCCCTTTCTACACCATTTAATGGGGAAATGTGGGCCTTGCAGGGAAAAGGTAGAAATATAATGATAATATTAATTAATAATTTGGGGCCAGTTTTGCGGGCCAGATTAAAAAGCCAAATGGGCCACAACCGGCCCCCAGGGCCTTAGTTTGCCCATGCCTCTAAATATTGAATAGCAAGCAAAACAAAGGCAGAGGCAGAGGAAGAGGTGCTGAAAGAAAAAACAACAGCCAAAAAGTAACTAAATTGGACACCTGACATGTAACCTTAGTAATTTAAATGAAATAGTTTAAATAAAATTCCTAAGGATTTTTGGTTTTCTTAGTCCTATGGTCGGGGTTTAAGGGCTTCTGATATTAGTCGGTGTGTATGTGATAGTCTGTGGTAATTCCTGCCCTGCTGAAGACATGAATTACTAGATATCTGAACAATAATAAAAATATCAGGTCTAAATCAATGGTTCATTATGAATGAATTGAATATTTGATTTATTGTCTTCCTATAAAAGAGGCTGGTTTTCTTTTCTCCTGGGGCAAAGCCAGAAATCTCTGTGCCTTATCCTGTCATATTTAGGTTTTGTTTTATTAAACTGTAAAAAAATATAGCATTGGCAGTAAGTTGTGTCTGCTATAATTTTGTTCCGGCCTCCTGGGAACTGGCTCCATTGTGAAAACCTTTCCCTAAACTCAAATGTGTGGTTTTCTTGCCTCCTCTGACCTTTGGTGTGCAGAGTGACGTGTAGAATGTGCAGAGTTTGAGGAGACATTAGTCAACGGGAGACTGGGTGAGGGGGCTGGGGGGTGGATGAGTGCTGGGGGAGTAGATGCATGCTCATAAATCTAATATCGCTGCTCGTTTCCAGGACAAGTGTGGTTCAATATGTACCTTCCATGTGTGACATTTTCAGCAGAAGTCTCCAGTGTATATTACCAGAAAGTGGAGGGATTCCAGGAAAATATGAGACATCAGTTCTGGAGCTCTGGAAGTCAAATCCAACATATGGAAAATAATTCAAAAAATGGAAATATTAGGTTTTTAGAGAGAGAGAAAAAAAACCCAGGACTGACTCAAATCACATGTAAAAATTAATGCTGAGATTCCAGACTTCAATATAAAGAGCTGGTTTCTTCCTTCATCTCAAAATTTAATGTAGAAATAATGAACAAATAAGACATGGTACAGTTTCTCACACAGGCCCTTGATTATGATATTTACCTCTTCAGTCAGAAAACCAGGTTTTCCTTCAGTTAGTCTCCGTGTTGTCGCCGTGTCGATGCTGTTCTCCCAGTCAGTGTGAATGTACTACTGTATATACAGAGTAGAAATGGCTGGCAGTTACAATAAAACAAGTGAAGGACAGGGATAGTTGGCAGATGGAACAGGCCCTCGACACACACACACGCACACACACACATTAAGGACAGGGGGACACAAAAAGAGTCGTTTCATTACTTTATTTTTGACAGGCGTAACACATTTTTGACAACTCCCAATTTGGACTGGAGTCTGCACCGGGGTTTTTTCAGCCGCAGCAGTAGGCAGCTGTTTTAAGCGGAGGAGAAGGTGGAGGGGCGGGGGGTGAGGGGGTATCTCAAATACACAGGATGAGCGCCATCTGTCCATCATCAAACAGACGCTACAGGAAGTTCATAACGATGAACGTTTATGCTGAAAACCTGGAGATATTCAGGGAACTTCATATTTGTTCCTTTTGCAGGAAATTGAAAAAAAAAATACATTCAAGTTCAATTTCAATACTTTGGAGTCTTGTTAAAGCCACGGTCTGGGATTTAATGCCTGAACCTTGAACTTGGTGCAGTTCCAATGTTTAATGTACAATAATGCCTCAAAATACAGTATCACACATTTTCAACTTCTGCATGAACATAAATATTCTTTTTACTCATTCATAATCTTTGTATGGTTTGACAGCCCTGTAAGTCTTGAAAGAATCCAGTTTAGTTAAATAAAAACCTGACCAATTTTATCTTTTTGTTATCACTTTGCTTTTGTGTATTTCACTGATCACATTTTTCTCTGAAAAATTAAACATTTTGGAATTAGAACCAAAATTACATTTCTAGCAAAAATGGAATTTGAAAAAAAAAAAAAATTAGATCCATCTGATTGAATTTTATTTTCTATAAACCAAAATAAATCTGATTAAATTTTATTTTCTATAAACCAAAATAAAATGTAATATGAACTCGGTTATATTCTTGGAAAACAAATTAAATTGGAGCATCAAAATTTGAACCAAACATGGATAAGAATTTTTTTTTTTTTTCCCATTCCAATTGGTGTCCATCTTATTGCTTTATCTTAAAAAAAGACAAATAGAAACATTTATGGGAACTGGATTGCAGTCCCAGGTGGAAGCAGTGATTCCGGTTGTAGTTTGGTGTAAGAAAACATCCCAGGATTCCACCGAAAGAAAAGAATTCTCTGATAAAACACTGCTGTGCTGTCAGCACCCCCTGCAGGGGAGATGTTTCCAAACACAGATTCCTTTACATATTTAAAATTGCCATTTAAAATCAAACTCTCCCTATTACACCTGTGATTAGAATCTTGCGTAATTGTATCCTGGAACACCTAGTATCTACGTCCGTGTCAAATTAAAACTTGTAAGATGTCCTCCCAGATGACACGCGTTATTGTTTTTTTTTTTTTTTTAATCCGATTCCTAGTCGGACAGTCAGTCTACAATAGGTGTTTCTGCTCTATAGTGTTTCTAATCCAACGCTAGCTGGTGCGTAACCGCCGTAATCCAAATTAAAGCTGCTGGTGACCATCTGCTGTCTCCTTACGCAGCTCAGCCACGCACTACTTTGTTACTGCATCCACCTCAGTCCGCCCCCTCTGCTCACGTCTACGTGTATGTGTATGTGTGCCGGGCGGAGTAATTCGTGTGGGTATCTCTTGCGTGCGTGTGCGTGTGCGTGAGGGGGAGAGCGAGAGAAGGAGGAGAGAGAAAGGGGGAGGGAGGGAGCTGTACGGCTGCTGGTTGTCACTCATTGTGCCTCGAACACTGGTAGCGACAAGGACCAAAAAAAAATTGAGTTCGGTTTCAGTTGTTATTCCTGGAGAGGCTGATTCCTGCTCTTCTCTGTCTTTTTGGTTTGTTTCTGCATCACCAGGAGCGACAGCCCGTGTGTTTAAAGTGCGATTCCTCCTGCAGGAGAATATCTGTGAGACGTTTACAATGCTTCAAATTAGGGACTTCATCTTCATCATCTGGGGACTGCTTCTCGCTGGATGCGCAGGTAAGAAGGAGAGCTACAAAAAACAAAAAAACAAAAAAAAGGAAATGATGCCGAGTTATTTTCGGTGCATGTGAGAGTTGTGTGCCAGATCTGGGGCAGATCTGTTGGAGTGAATGCAGGCCGAGCAGTGGGTCTAAATTCGGAGCAGCATCCTCCGCCTGGTCCCACCGGCGGCTGCATCCTCTGTGCCCCTGACTCCGGACTGTGGCGCTCGCCACGAATGTGAGTTGTGCTCTGCGCAAAAAAACATTCCGAGTGGTTCAGGAGGAAGACAAAGTTCCTCTGGTGAAACGAAACTTCTTGTCTTTTCCAGCTCTCAAACCTAAACAGGACACTGGATTAGTGTGTTTATTTTTTTATATTTCCGCTCCAGTCCGTTCATGTTGGAAGGTTTGCGCGCAGAAGAGGGTGACACAGTTTCCCTGTCTCTTTTGGCTCACTGTCCTCTCTAAGCTGTGTCAAACCGCAGGTTTGTCTCCAACACACACATGTGTGCTGTGTTTTTCTAAGTCCAGCTCTGTGTTTCGGCAGGTTAGAGCAGATGGATGCTGCCTGGTGGAGATGGAGAGGTGATGCAGAGCAGGGACCTCTCTCTCTCTCTCTCTCTCCCCCCCCCTCCTTCCAGCAGTCAGTATTGATTATTCTCCATATGCGCGCTCCTCAGTTGCAGTTTTTAGTTTCAAATGCACCAATGTGATGAATTGTAAAAAGACATTTACTCCTCCGAAAGTCCGACCCGGCTGTTTTTTTTTTTTCTTCTTTTCTTCTTCTGACCGTTCTGCTTGTGACGCACCGACGCCTGCAGCTTCGGTCGCCCCTCTCGGGGGAGCTTTTGTTTCAGTGCAATAAATAGGCGTGCGGATATTTCCTAAGGTCAAATATGTGCTATTTAAATCTTTTTTTGTCAGATCTTCCAGGTTAAAGTGAATGTAAGGCATGTGGAAATGGTCCCGTTTGGCTGGAGAAGTGCGCGGAAAAAGTACCAGTGCGCGCCAGCCTCCCTGTCATTATTCATGTCACTGTTGTTGTTTTTTTTTCCTCTGTTGACAAACAGAAGGCTGTGGGTTCAACTCTCCTGCTCTACCTTAGGACGTGGGGTCGTTTTGACATATGGACCCACGCTGATTAGATCGCACTTTTCTTTTTTTTTTTTTCTTCTTTTTTTTCTTCAATTTTCGTTGGTTTTAGGTGAAAGTGCTCATCCATTCAGGACCAATGAATAGTCATTCAGTGGATACAATAGAATCCAATCCAATCCCAGAGCCCCCTTAGTTATCTAGGGCGGAAAAGGGGACCCTTTCTCCCCATAAACCCCCACCTTGTGCGCCTCCTGTACCCTCCGCCTACTCTCCTCCCTCCTCCTCCCTGCATCTGCTCTCCCTCTCTTTGCAGACGGCAAGTGGAGTTTGTGGACCCCCAGGGTTCCCAGGAGAGAGGAAGGCGAGGTTGATTTGATAATAAATTAGAAGAGTGCAGTGGCGGTTATTTTAACCCCAGGTGTCGTCTTCCCTCTTATATGGCTCTGGTGTTTTGTTGCTTCTGTATTCTTTTAGTGTCTCTGCCTCCAGAGAAGCTCCAGTCTCCTTTCATAGATGTTTGATTCCACCAATGACACGTCTCTCCTTAGACCTTTTTTTTTGGAATTTTACTGACACATTCAAGGGAAGTCAAAAAGCTCTAAGACCATCTGCATATGAATATATAAATGATCTCCTCTTTGTAACATCCATTTGACTCTTCTACAGCAGTGTTTCCATCGGGGACTTCCTCTTTTAGAATTGTGGGAGATATATTTGCTATTTCAAGGATATATTGAAAACATATGAGCTATAAGCTATTGAGAACACAAATTCACAAAAATGGACACCATTTTATATTAAAAAAAAGCGGTTTGGAACTTTTTGACTACTGCACTAAACAGGTACACATGCTGTATCAACCACTGTCCCTGTCATTATACTATAGTACAAATCCAGCCTGTATTTCTGCTAGAGATTCAGGATCAAAATACTGTATTTGTCATTTGTTTTCCAGTAAATCTACTCCAGCTCATTTTGTGTCATCTGTTGTTTTTTCCATCTTTATTCAAAAACAAACTTCCAATCCCATCATACCAGCAGATCACAGTTTTTTTCCCTCAATTCTGGCACAAAGTCAGTGTAAAACCCAGCCTACCCTAGTGAGTAGGTTGAATACTCATCGCTTTTTTCCCCCGTCTCTTTTACAGTACGCCTGTGTGCAGAACTTATTTTTGGGTTCTACTGTCAAGAAGCAGATGATTATATTTTTTTTTTTTGTGGGTACCTTTGTCCCACATCCATGGTCAAACCATTAAAGCAGTGTTCTGCAAATTGAGCTAAAAAAGATGGGGAAAAATCTGTATGCTCTTTGGAAGGTACTAGAAGCGAGTGGATATTTGTTAATATATGATATTATGTTTTTATTGTTTACGCCCAAAGCAGGATTTTTTCTTTAGGTGTGTTTTCAATTTGGTTGTGAGTATTTGTGATCTGGGGCATCGTGATTGACTCGTTAACATCTTCTACATTTGCAGAAATAACAACATAGTGTTGTCTAAAACAGTGACAGCCGCTGGCTAATGATACAGGCATCTATTATTTTGATATACTATATATGGAAAAAGAAATGACAAACGTTTGGTGCTGTGGTGTCATTTGTCAGATCTGAAACGCAAGTTTGAAACAAACTAGTCTGTTTAGAGAAGAACACCATTGTACAAAAATACTGGACAAGAGTTGTTTTCTTACATATTGACCACCAGTGGCCACTAGTGGCCCTCATCTGCATACCTCTTTTTGACATTGTTTTTCTTTGATGCAATTATTTTATCATTTTATCATCATTTTGTGTGCCACTGGAGGGAGCTCAAGTACCACTAGGGGTACACGTGCCATAATTTGGGAACCACTGTAAACCATTACGTAAAAAAAAAAAAAAACACTGATAGGGACAAAGAAGTGGGGCAATCCCTCTGCTATTGCTGCAAATTGTATTAACAGAGAAAATTCAAAGAAATTGATCCTAATATCCGATAGAGCAGGGTTGCATTAAGGGCGTAATGACATCAACATGCAGTTTGAAGACTGGGAAATGTAATTACAGTTATGGATTTTCAGTTCCTGTTCCAGATCAGTGATGATTACATTTGGAAGGCGGTAAGAAGCATTAGGATGAAGAGCCACGCCGACTCCGACTGTCACAGGTGGACGTTCGAGTTGGCCTTACGTGTCCCGGCCGGCGTCTGCAGTCAGATGGATTTACTCTAGTGTGTATCTGCAGTACCGACCTTGTGTGATTGAAGAGATCTTTCATGTCCAGGGTCATTAATTCACAGCCTGTAGGAGGAGTGTTGATTTAGATTTCCAACCCTGACTTACTGATCTGCTGTCACTGTAACTTCTGGAAGGCTCTTTCTTTGTATTTCTTCCTTTCTTTTTCTTTCCTTCCTTCCTTCCTTCCTTCCTTCCTTCCTTTCTTGCTTCCTCTCTCGATCCCTCTCTCCCCTCTTTCTTTCTTTCCCCTCCTCTCTCTTTTTTCTTCTTTCCTGTCTTTCTTACTGTCTTTCTTCCATCCATTGCAGACGTGTCCTCCAAGAAAGTTCAACTTGGCTTGGCTTTGTGCACTGCAATGCAGCGTCATAAAAGACAAATACCTCTATCACATAACCGAGGTGATTTGGCAGCAATCGTCAGGACTCAGGATAAAATTATTGTCATCATGAAAACTTTCCAGAGTCGTAAAACACTTCTTGGTTATATTTTTAAACCCCTGCGCCCGTGACAGACTCATACATCTATTACTCAGACTTTACCTACAGTATATACTTGCACTTCTTTGTTTCATTGAGAATGGACTGATTTACTGGCAGTTCGTCCTTAGCTGTCAATTATAACCTAGTTTATTGTTCTTTGAGTGCAAAACAGTGTATTCAGTTTTGTTAAAGGTATTTTATTTGACTAGTATTTCTTGTTTTGGATATCTTTTTAAAATGCATTAATTTCTTCTATGTTCAGCTGAATTCGAACTTGTATCTTTGTAAAGTAAGTTGAAGCAGCCGAAGTTTCGGTAGCTTTCAAAGTGAAATGCAGTTAGCTTTTGGCTACTTTTTAAACTCTCGATTGATGGAGAAATAAGCAGTGCTATTAACATATCGTGTGTTTTGACTAAAACTTGGCAGATGTTTTCTCCCTTGAACTATTTTAAAGCTAGCAATGTAATCACCCTATGTCATTTATTTATATGGTAGCTAGCTCGCGTTACTTTCTGGGCTGATTTTAGCCATTTATGAAATCATTATGAATATCTTAATGTCAGTGCTAACTTCTGACGCAGCATCGTCATAGAAAAACCATTACATCCACTCATACAAGTTTTATGGTTCTGATGTTGGTGGTGGTGCTTCATTACCACATTAAAAGACAAGGGTTTCCTCTGAAAGTCCAGTCACCCTTGCACCTGCCTCTGCTTTTCCTTAGTTCTGATTTGAGTGACGCAAAAACAGTAGCTCACACGGCAAATTGTGACCACGTGCGTTTGAATCTCCAGAATGAGGGATGATCTTTGCAAAGGCAAACACTGTGAGGTTCACGTAATGACTGTCTGGGTCTGAAGCTGTGTGTTGTGCGTGAAGCTTTGAGCAGAGAGGGAAAAAAAAAAAGTTTAGCTGAACGTTTCAGGCCGAGAGAAACTACTCCATTTCTAAATGGTTAGCATATGGTGCTTTAACTGCTGCTGCTGTGGTGAGTTCAAAGCCACTATGAAAATAATACAGGCTATTTTTGACTTAGGGGGAACTGGAAAAAGAAGCCAAACAAGGGGAAAATTATAAGGCGTTTTTAGCCTCCTCTCTGAATAAAACTGTACTCTGAGCTTTTGGAACTTGGCTCCTGCAGTTGTAACCGGATCTGTAGAGCGTTTAAAGTGACATGTCCGCATTTTCCAACCAATTTATGGCAGCTTATGTTGATCAAGTTCTCCTT